TTGTGAGGACACATTCTGTTTCCTGTTGTTGGACGTTGTGAGGACACATTCTGTTTCCTGTTGTTGGACGTTGTGAGGACACATTCTGTTTCCTGTTGTTGGACGTTGTGAGGACACATTCTGTTTCCTGTTGGACGTTGTGAGGACACATTCTGTTTCCTGTTGGACGTTGTGAGGACACATTCTGTTTCCTGTTGATGGACATTGTGAGGACACATTCTGTTTCCTGTTGTTGGACGTTGTGAGGACACATTCTGTTTCCTGTTGTTGGACGTTGTGAGGACACATTCTGTTTCCTGTTGTTGGACGTTGTGAGGACACATTCTGTTTCCTGTGGGACGTTGTGAGGACACATTCTGTTTCCTGTGGGACGTTGTGAGGACACATTCTGTTTCCTGTTGTTGGACGTTGTGAGGACACATTCTGTTTCCTGTGGGACGTTGTCAGGACACATTCTGTTTCCTGTTGGACGTTGTGAGGACACATTCAGGTCTCCAGGAGGAGGACTTGGTCCCGGCAGGAGCCAGCAGGACACGAGGTTCAGAAAGAGGAAGCTGACCTCAGATCTGCAGGTTTCATGTTTTCTCTTCGTCATGAGTCGCTGCAGCCAAAATGAAATGTGACAAAAAGAGAAGTGAGACGATAAAACACCATGACCCACAGAACCGTTCTGAGACCACCTGCTCCGTCTGGAGACAGGTCCAAACAGAACCAGAGACCTGCAGTGAGGCCTGACCTGGTCTGACCTGTCACTGACTGCTGAGCAGGAGAAAACCATCCAGGTGTTTCTCATTAGTTTGTCTTTATATTCAGTGTTGTCGTGTTGTGTGACTCTCACAGACTGATGTGTGTGACTCAGGTGAGCTGATGAACTCTACCTGATACAACAGTCGGACTCAGATCTGAACTGGTTTGAACTGGTTTGAACTGGTCTCCTGTTGGTTAAATGACAGAAGAAAAACATATTTTCATTGTATAAAGTTTGAAACAGTCGGAGTTTATGTGAACATTTATAACATGAAGTCTACAATCTTTAACTCTTTACAGCCTTACTGCTCCTCTTTGTTTCATTCATGATTAAATTAAACTCATTCTTGTTTTATTTGGTAATAAATGACCATAAAGACAGAGACATGATTGGGTCAGAGATAAGAACCATGTGTTACACCACATCACCTCCCCAGTAAGTCTGAGTCTGATTCTAAAGGTTGACAGTAAGTCACCTGGAGCTCCAGCAGGTAAACTTTTATTAACCCTTTGTGTTCGTCTGACCACTCCCTGCAGACCAGAGCAACACCTGACCAGGTGGAACCATGACTACTTGTTCTGGTTCTGGTGGGTCAGTGGTTAGCACTGTTCGATCCCCGGTTCAGACCTGAGGTCTTTCTGTTTACATGTTCTCCTTGTGTCTGTGTGGGTTTTCTCCAGGTGCTCCGGTTCCCCCACATCTAACAACCTGTAAGAGCTGCTTCCAGACCTCCTGAGGTCTGAGGTCTCAACAAGACTGACCTGTTAGACAACAGTAAGTAAGTAAATAAATAACAGTAAATAAAAGTCAGTGAGTCGACCCACAGAACCAGTGTCTGAGGTTCTGATGGACTGAAACTGAAACCTGACGGTGTCTGTCTTGGTGTTCACTACTTCCTGTTGACACCTTCAACACTTCCTGTTGAGATTGATGAGAGAACCTGACAGTAAATCTGAACACCTGTTGTCATGGTAACAGGACCACATGGACGGGGTGGTATTCTGAAAACACCTGGACTCAGCTGAACCAATGAGACGGTCCAGAGGTGGTTCTGGTTCTGAGCTGGGCCCTGACAGCCTCTGGAACAGACTGGATGTGGGTTGTTTTCTGACCCCCCCCCCCCCCCCCCGGGTGCTGATGCAGCTGAACTGCAGCTCTGTGTGTCCCTGGAACAAAAGGCAGCAGAATAAAGGTCTTCCTGCTTCCAGAACCAGCTGGTCCATAAATCCAGGAGACCAGCAGAGCCCAGCGCTGAGACTCTGAGACCCTGCTGAGCATCATGCCTCTGCCCCGACGCCGCTCGTCCTTCCTGGGACAGTCCACTGCAGAGCGCCTGCCCCCGGCCTCCTGCGGGCGGGTGGGCCCCGCCGCCCCCCGGGGGGTCCATGTGGGCCCCACGACCCCAGCAGGGCTGGGTCCAGGACTGGGAACACGGGTGTCCCGCAGAGCTCTGGGGATCAGCAGCGTCTTCCTGCAGGGGATGAGGAGCAGCACTGCCCCGGTCCTACCGCAGCCCACGGGGGGCCAAGCTGCCAGCGGGGGCCTGAACAGCTGCCTGGTGGAGTACCGGGACAAGGTCCGGGCCCTGGAACAGCTGAACCAGCAGCTGGAGGACCAGATCCGCCTGAGTCTGGACCGCAAAGCCTCATGTGCCGGAGCCTGGGGACCACTGAGGAGGGAGTGGGAGGAGGTCTACAGACAGGTGAGAACGTGTGTGTAGGGGGGTCTACAGACAGGTGAGGGGTCTACAGACAGGTGAGGGGGGTCTACAGACAGGTGAGGGGTCTATAGACAGGTGAGTAAGTGTGTGTGTAGGGGGGTCTACAGACAGGTGAGGGGTCTACAGACAGGTGAGGGGGGTCTACAGACAGGTGAGGGGTCTATAGACAGGTGAGTAAGTGTGTGTGTAGGGGGGTCTACAGACAGGTGAGG